AATAATGGAAAGACATAATCAAAAGGAGGAAAGAATAATTGAGAAAAAAAAAAACGTACCTAATTACTATGCAAGGATATAAAGTGTTTCAGGGGTTCGTATATTTGTGGAGCATACGATACATAGTTTCACGGATGTGATGCAGCAACTCACGTACGAGGTTTACTTTAGCACAACATAGTTTACTACAAATGGTTATTATATTCATGGTTTCATTGCATTTCGACGAATATAAATATAAATAATATATAAAATAAAATAAAATAAAATAAAATAAAATATTATAAGGTTATAAAAAATGCAGATAAAAAGTAAAAAATAAATTTCAGATTAGTTATTTATTTTTAATTAAAATGTATATGATTTATTGTAATAAAAATTAATAATATTAATATAAAATTAGGAAAAATGAAAATGGGTGTGAGCTCGAACTCGAACCTTGAGTTGAGAGAAATAACACAAATCCTCGTATTGAGAAAAATATCCCCAATCCCACTATGATTATTTTCGAATGAATAGTAATTAGTCATTATGCACGCGATAAATATATTATCTTCATTTGTCTATGAATTCGTCATCTATAGAATACAATTTTTTATCATTATGAACAATTGAAGACATAGAAAGATTTTTTTTTCCGCAAAATAATATTCAATAAATAAATTAAAATTGCAATTTTTTCACTAAATAATAAAAAAATTGATTATTAACAACAATTTCCTATTGTAAACTGGATATTTTCATTGTATAAATGTTAATATAATGACATCAGTTTTTATCGTCCTTGAAATTAGATACGAAAAACATAGTTTTCAATTTTCACTGCAAATTACTGCTAAAAATTATAAGTAACATTGTATATTAGACTGTAAATACTAAAAACAATATATGTACATATTTTTTTCTCTATATATATATTAAAGCATTAAAGCTTATATTTTACATTTAAATAAGCTTGAGTCCAGATAATAATGCACACTCGACCAAAATCCAATTGAAACATGCAAATCGGGCATACACAAGAGAATGTTACAATAAAAAATAAACTAACAACAAACATTATACGACCATAAAAAAGGAAAATGTGTAAAATTAATAAAAAAAATTCAAAATATAATCAATTACAAATTATCACAAAATCAATGCTCAAATAATTATGAAATCACTTAATTAAGACGACCATATATTAAGGAAATCAGCAAAAAGGTCACTATTTCTTAATATATTTTGTTGCACGTGCGAAATGATTTCTTGAAGTAAAGTTAGTCCAAATAAATGGTTTTTAAAAAAAATTAAGAAAATTATTTTTGATTTTGTGTTTATATAACTACCATAATAAGATCAATTGTAGATAATGTGACTACAAATAAAGGAAAGAAATAAAAAATAATTATAAAAACAAATTAACAAAATTAAATGCATTCGGATATAGGAAAAAAATAAATAGAAAAAGACCGATGCCCCATAGGATGTGACTGGGACGACACATAGGTATGCCAAATGTCCATTTTTTAAGCTATGATGGTTTCAATTTATATATTGTATAGATTAATTATCATATGAAGAAAAATAAATCATAGCACTAAGAAAACTATATACTTAAAATGATTTTATTCATCCAAACAACAAATAACAATGTATCAACAAATTATGATAGACAATAAATTAAAAGTCATAATTGAAGCAATATAATGAACCAGGAAGAAAGATGAATAAAGAAATCATTATTTTTTTTTTTTACTTCTAAAAAAGAATGAGATAATATTGGACAACTCCAAAGAAAGAGAAGTCCAAGTAAAAAATAACAATAGTATCAAAAAAAACATGATATCCAAAGTTATATATAATATAAAAATACTTGAAGTATTGAAGAATATGGTCAAAAAACAAGAAAAAAAATTGTCAAATTAAATTATCGACGTCCCAAGAAAATTGTAATTATTGAGTCATGAATTATATTGACAAAAGATATCACACTTGTAGATTTCAATGTTAAGTGAAGTTGTTCAATTTAAATGAACAAATTATCATCACCAATTATCTTCATATATAATGCCAATAAAAAAATACAAGCATCACAAAAATATATAGTAAAACTAATATTGAGACGTGCAACGCACGTCCACCTTCCTAGTAATTAAAAAACAAATAGTATAACTTACATAGCATTTCACCTTACCTTATGTAAATATATTTTATATTGCATATTCACTAATTCCAGTCATCGCATATGTGTTCCCGCTGCCTGTTTCCCATCTGCAAAAATAGTTGCACAAAAACCCGGCCCAAAGGTGAAGGTGACCAGGAATCCAGCAGAGGTAATAAATACTAAATACCAATAGTTTTCAGCTTGCCACTGTGGGGTTCACCCCAACTACAATTTCTAAAATATAGAAAACCAATTATGTCTTTTTAGTGAAACGGTACCTACCTACCTTATCTCTTCTCCAGCAATCAGCGGTATACGGCGTCGGCAAAGTGGAGCGGTTTGGTGGGAGGCGTTTCTGGCGGAAAGTAATGGGGCTGCAGGGCAAGTAGACGCCGTGAGTTGTCGTCGGTGGAAAAAAGGAGCAATGGGCGGTGCCGGTGCCTTGTTTATATATTTGTAAAATGTGTTTTATTTATACTGGCGTGAGTTTGAAGGGGTTGATGATACTCTACGTCAAAGTTGCCCCCATATCCTGATCAATATTAGAAGACTGAATATAAGGGTCACATTAAAACAGCGCATTGTATATGGTGAGATGGGTTATGAAATAAGAGATAATATTAATGATATAGAGCTGATGTTATACAAGCTAGTATTCTATGATATGGAAAGGATAGAAGGTTCGTATATGTTCATTGCGGGACTCATTGTTGTGATAGATGATACTGATTAGGAAGAGGAGAATGCGGTTCTAGATCGGTAATCAATGGCATGCGGTGAAGATTTGTTACAGCATATTGGTTGTATATTGAAACACGTGAATTAATTTCACAATGTGTTTTTAACTTTTCTTAACTTCTAAACTAAATCTTAGTTAGTGGGCTTAGTAGGGTTAAGTAGTGCTTAGTGGATTTAATTATGGGATTTATCTTAACTTCCTAACTAACCCACTAACCCATTATCTTGAGTGCTCTTGTGGTTGGTTTTCTTGCAGATCATGGGCTGAAGAGTGGAAGCTTGGCAAGTCTATAAATACCAAACTCAAGACTCAAGATTATTACAGATTTCGAGAAAACAAAAATAGAGCTGAAGTTTTAATCTCGAGAATTTTAGTGTGTTTTCTAGGATCTGTTGTACGTACTATTTATAAGTACCACTACACCATATGAACCATTTTCTAACACCACTATTTTATCATTTCTAACGGATTTGCATGTTAGAAATTGCCAACGGATATATCTGTTAGCAAAACAACTTATGTGTTAGTATTTGTAATAAGTCATTTATATTATATAAAAAATTGTTTCTAACGGACATATTGTTGGTTTCTAACGGATAAATAGGTTAGAAAAATAGTTACGGTTAATAATTAATAAGTTATTTTTATTAAATTTCTTGCTGATAAATTAGTTATTTTAAAAATAATAAATTAGAGTGCTTGAAAAATATATAGATACATGTTTACATATTTCTTTAGCACATGATATTTTTATTTTCAACAAATTTCCTTTTTTTTAGGATACAAAAGATCAAATTCTAATTAATAAAATAGAGGTTCCCCTTTTTTTTCCCGAATACATAATAGGGTAAATTACAAACACCCCCCTGAGGTATGGCCAAATTACAAAAACACCCCTCTTGTTTGGATAATTACATCCACCCTCTCAACTCATCAAATTTAGTGGAATCTTCGAGATTATATGGAATATTATCACTTTTGTACCCGTTTTATCCCATTCAAACTCTACATTATGAAGCAAGATGACCATAATATGTGATTTTTAGCTTGTATATATCAGTTTGTGGTGCATCGGAAACTGTATTTTTTACACAAAAAGAGTACAAACTAGAGCACATTTCACGGAATCTAGATGACTATGTTGAATTTGGCACCATAAAGGTGGTGGTCTAAGAAAAAATCATAGTTGAGGGGGTAGATGTAATTATCCAAACAAGATGGGGGTTTTTGTAATTTGACCATACCTCAGGGGCGTGTTTGTAATTTACCCTACATAATAAATAAGTAAAATATGTAATTACTAACCATTTAATAGGAATTTTTATTTTGTCAAAATAATTACTTTTAATATAACATATTTTTTATTCTCTTTCATTCTACATTCAATTATTTAAAAAAAATTATTTGGGTAATATATTTTTTACTTTTGTTGAAATCCAATATAATTTCTCTTTGCCAAATAAATTACATAAACATGTACACCTCCTATCTCGTTCTACAGTATGGAGAACGTGCTTGTTTTAAATTGGTTATAACATATATTTAATTTCAAGATTAATAAGCCCTTTTTTCATTAATTCCAACTAAGATATCAAATTTCCTAAAAAAGAAAAAAAAAAAAAAAAATGAAACTTTTGATAGTAGATGAGTGTAAGGCTCCGTTTGATAGGATTAAGTGCTTAATGCTGAATGCTGAATAAATCTCTGAATGGGTAAGAGCTGTGTCTGATTGCTGAATGTTGAATAATTAAGTTCATTTGATAACTGAATATCTGTAACGTCTGAATATTATAATTTTCCTGATATACCTTTGTATAATTATGAAACATTATAAGTAATTAAATTTGATTAGAATATTTGAATAAACATATTTTTTAAGCATGATCTACTTAATAAGTAAGTTATAAAAATTTAACAGACATTACATATCTTGATATGAACTTATAATATCTAACATAGACAAAATATAAATTTCAAATTTCAAATTCAAACAACTAATAAAAATAAAAGTCATAAATAAAAGCAGAGAAAATATAAAAATACATTAAAGTCATTAAAATTGGCTCAAAAATATTAATCCCTAAAATTAAACTGAAAAAAAATTAATAAATTCTAATTGGTCCTGGTCCCTCCAGGCATCAATCGAGTTGCTATTTCATCGCGCACATTTGCCATGTATTGCATGTCTTCATCCCCCCACCATGGTCCAGTAGTTGTACCATCATTCACAAGATTTTGCTCATCCTCATTCGCACCATCAAATGACATATTAGGTTGATCAAACTCCTCAAAAAGTGTATCACTTATACGCTCTTTTCTTATAAAATTATGAACCGCAAAACAAGCAATCACTATATTTCTCTGCACATTAAACGAAAAAGGGGCCATTTTTTGTAAAATTGGAAATCTTTTCTTCAGAACTCCATAAGCTCGTTCGATGACATTCCTTAGTTGAGCATGAGCATGGTTAAATCTTTCTTCTTTAGTTAAAGGACGCCTACGACGATAATCTCCTAACCAATATCGTACATTACGATATGGAACCATAAATCCTCTAGTATGTGTATATGCAGCATCACAAAGATAGTATTTACCTGTAACCATTATAAATATAAAGTAATATCAAAATTTAACGTATAAATATTAAGAATTTAGTTTGAATTTAAAGTAATACCAGGTGGAGGCCATGGAAACCCATTTCTTGGATCAGCAACTGTATCCGTTAGGACTCTTGAATCATGTGTTACCCCTTCCCAGCCTGCCCAAACGAACGTAAAAATCATATTAAAGTCGCATATTCCTAAAATATTTTGATAACATTCTCCCTTTCCTCTACCCCTATACATAGTCTGTTGTGAAATTGGAATAATGGCAGGTATTAATGTTCCATCAAGTGCACCAACTGCTCCCTACATTTAAATAAAATTAAAAAATTATGCAAACATTAGAAAACTTACAAATCTAAAGCAATAAAATAATGACAAAAAAAAATATACAATGCACAAAAATACCTTAAAAATGCGGTTTAATCTCCTAAAACTTGCTGAAATGTTTGGATTTGGGTCAAATGTTGTGGGTACTATTACCTCCCTTGCCATATTCATCATTGCACGTAACACTTCGTGAAAACACGCATGAACTGTTTGTGAAGAGTGTTGAAATCTACGCTTCACCACACGAAGACGCTTACTATGCCCAATAATCTGCAAGAACATTGCCATTTTTTCTTCTACAGATATATGTTTACTATCATGTAGCCACCCTCTTTGTCTAAAATGCATACTCAAGCGAATATACGCAATACGAGACATGCGCATTAAATCCATACATTGTGTGTCTGACCCAGACAATAGCTCTAACGTGTAAGCATGACCGGACAATGCTGAGTTGTTATCTATATTTCTTGGTACACGCATTAAATGTCTCGGTCGAATTTGTGTGTACCAATAGATCATCATCAATATCATAATCTCATAAATTTCCATATTTAACCTGTTAACATAAATGAATAATACATTAAATATTTGAGAATCAATATTTCTTAAACACATAATTAAATCATAAAGAGAATTCAACTCACAAGACAAATATAAAACAAAGTCTATCATTATTAAATATCAAAAAAATGCAAAGTTCATAACTATTGTACGGAAATTAAAACAAATTCATTAAAAATAAATACTACTGAAGTCTTCAAATTAATCTACATAAGTCCTTGCAAGTTAAAATTCAAATCCCATGTTTTCTCCAATTCTTTTAATCCATGCTTTCAGAACACCCACATTATCCTTAGGAAACACCATCCAAGCTTCTCTATGTCCCGCACAACTACCAAATATCACAACAGCAGAGACATAAAAGATGTCTTCTTTATCCCATCCTAGTTCATCCAATTTAGCAATGCAATCTGTAACTGACGGTCCACTATTATTTTTTATCATAAACTTCAAAGCAGCTGACATCTCTTCTACTAAATTATTATCACTAGATGAAGGTTGGATCTTTTTCTTTTTCTTTTTAGGTTTTTCTCCTCGTGACTGATGGTTGGAATCATTACTCTGAGTGTCTGTGGTAGGGACAAAATTTTCATCTTCATCACCAAACAAAATATCTTCTATGTCATGTTGTTCTGCATTTCGAACAGTTGAAGAAAATGAGCTAGTACCAGGATTTGGATCTTGGGAACTAGGTCCCCAAGAATGAATCCCTGTAGCAGTGGTTCCATCAAATAGTGCTCTACAAAGGTCAGGATACGGTAAGGGGGCAAGTCTTAAACTCCTTGCCTTAGGATGAGCCTGTATTTAGATATGAAATAAGAATTCTTAATATAGTGGAATAGTTAATGAAAATTACTGAGATAACATAGTGAAGAACTTAAACACTAGACCTTTATATACTCTGTCCACTCATCCTTTGTCATGTTGATGGTATTGGTCGCATGATTGTAAATATTGCCTGTTTTCATAGTTAACGGTAACCAAGCTTGATACTTTTGTTTTAAGTAGTCGTATCTATTCTTCATTTGTCTTTGAGAAACCACAAAATTATAATTTTTCTTGAGAGTATCCATAATCTTGGTCCAAGATTCAGCCTTAAGGCTTCCTCCTTCCCTGCCATTTAGTGCAACTTCTTGGATACACGCTTCGAGAAAACATTTATCTACTTCAGTATTGTTCCATCTGACTCTATTATTTTCCTCTGATTCTTCCATCCCTATACTCATGGATATTTATGCGCAAAAGGAAAATTTAAACCAATATACAGTATCACTGATATTACTACAAACAACCGACAAACAAGAAAAATGCGAATAGACAAACTATCGACAAACAAGAAAATTTAAACCAATAGACAATATTCACTCTTGAATTATAAGAGTTCAATTTTTTTACCATCCTAATTAAATAAAAAATAGTTGAATAACTTTAATCTGAAGTACATAGAATTCAATAGGAAATCAACTCTTTCAAGAAAACACACAGTTGAAGTTTTTGTGAAAAATTCGATCACTCTCATAATTGTCACCAACTCTTTCTCTAAAACATGGGCTTGTTTTGAAATATGGAAACATGAAATACGTAAAATATAAAAGTAATTATTGAGAACTTATTGGTGTCAGAGAATTCACTGGATGACGGCCAATTTCTGTTACGCCTCACAATTGCGAATTATTCTCTTTTTCATGCGTGTATTCTGAATATTCCTACTTGCCGATAATCCTTTATTTTGTGGTTTTCCTATCAAGTAAATTAATTTAGTTCGATTCATTTTCTGGTGCAGCATACAAAAGGATCCTAGAGACAGATCTTCGTCTTTGGAACTACTGGTTAGTTTAGTTCAACATAACTTGTCCTTTACACAAGCTTTCATTAATCTTTTAATTAACAACTATAGTGTAATTCGCAGAGCCACCCATTTATCAAGAAGTTTGAAGATAAAGACATTGATCTCAGCATTATAAATATGTTTTAAGATTATTAATAGAAGATAAATAATCTATGTAGTCCATGTACTATGGATTTAAAAACATAATTAACATATATAAAAATTCAAGAACATAAAGGTTTATTCAGATGAAAATTGATGAAGAAGAAAGATCTAACCTACCGGCCTGAAAATTTTTCGTTCGATAGTTTTTGTCGTGCTTCACTGTCGTCGCCCCCAGCAGATTGTTGATGGAGATGGAGAGAAAAAATATCGCGTTATGAGGTAGGGTAAATATTTAAATATTTATTTAAGAATAAAAGAGTCCAATATACGTTCAGATACTCCTCTTACCGAATAAGCGGCAAATTTTCGGTTGAATGGTTAAGAGATTAGTGGACCGATTAAGAGATGGTTACCAAATGGACTTAACGGCAAATCTACTGACCGAATCAGCATAGGACTCATTAAGAGGTCCATTAAGTGCAATCAAACGGGCCCTAAGTGAAGATTTATGTTTAGTACCGAATGATAAGTGAAATTAACCATTATATTTATTTTTTTTCAATTTTTTCTTAGTTTCAGATTGACTTTAGGATTAATATTTTTTTTTTTAGCTACTCACTTTTTCCCTACATGTTTTTTTTCCCTATAGTACTAAAATTTGTTTTATCAAATTCCTTTTTTTTTTCTTAAATTTCTATTTTCCTTTTTCTTTCTGGAATAAATTTAATATTTACTTTTGTTTAGGACTAATTGAAATCATAGCAACTTTGATTTCAAGGAAAAACGGCGTAACTTTCGTGTCACATTTAACGCTAAAAATCAGGCGACAAACTAAATTTGTTAAAAATAATATACATTTAAAAATTAATATAGTCGAGATTAGTGAAATTATATTAATTCAACGAAATATTAAAATATCAAATTAATAATTTAATACATTTTCACCGAATAGAACGAAGGAAGTAAATTATTATTCGAACAAGGTTATTAAATTATCAAGTATTAATTTATAGAAATTATGCGGTATTTGACAACTAAAATGCGGCCACAAATATACAAGAGCGAAAATCAGTTAAGCTGTGAACTATGAAAATTTGTGATTGAATACCCTAATTCCCAATTTTGTTGAAGAAAAAGTGTTATGCTGATGCGAATTTCGAATTAATAATTTGATCGAAAAACAAAAGTATAAAATTTTCTTTCAAGATTTTAATATCTATTTAGTTATTTAAATCATTATTAAACTGATTCGAATATATGGATTCATTAATATTCGATATTAATATCTAGAAATATCGAACTTCTCTATAATTAATCGAAATTCAAGTGGGCGAAGGAGCTAATTCAGAAAGACCTAATGCAGAGTGTGGAATCGAACACGGAAGCTGCCCACGCCACGACGCCGGCGGCGCGTGGGCCACACAGTACCTCGGACGCGCGAAGAACGCGCCACATTCAGCCCACGACCTCTGCAACGGCAAACCAGGAACACAGTTCTTCCTCAAATCCAGGACCCCACTTTTGATCAGCCCCAAACAAACTGGCCCCACGCGCGTGAAGTAATTATCCGACAGCGACAAATTCGCCAGGCTCCCGATCCCGCAAAGAACTTCCGGAACACTCCCGTACAGCAAATTCCCGGCGAAGTTCATAACCTCCAGCTTCCGCAAACACCCCAACGAGACCGGCAACAAACCCGTCAGCCGGTTGCCGCCGCCGTCGAACACGACGGCGTCTGTAAGTAAACCCAGTTCGTGAGGGAGGCAGCCGCTCAACATGTTGTTGATCAGCAAAATCTCCGATATATTCGATAGAGATCTCGAAACACTACGCGGGATCGGCCCGAAGAATTTGTTGTTGGCTAGCGTCAGAAACGCAATATGGCCGCCGCCGCCGCCGCCGCCGGCGGCGGCGTCGGGGAATCTGGTCAGGAAATTGTTGTTGTTGAGGAACAGCGCGTCGAGGCCGAGTGCGAATTTGGTGTTGAAAAACAGCTGCGGCGGAACGGAGCCGGAGAAGAAGTTGAAGCGTAAGTCGAGGAAGAAGAGCCCGGTCATGCCGAGTACGGCGGCGGCCGGAAATGCGCCGGTGAATTTGTTGTTGCTGAGGTCTAGCTCGTAGAGATACTTGAGGTTTCCGATGGCCGGAGAAATTGCTCCGGCGAAGTTGTTGGAGTTGGCGTGGAAGAGGGCTAAATCCGGTAGGCTATCGAGGAAACCGACCAACGTCGGTGCGGTTAACTGGAAGCCGTTGAAATCGATGGAGGCGAGCGCCGTTGCGGATTTGTTGTCGGGTGGGCTTTCGCAGTAGAAGCCTCTGTAGCTGCATATATCCGACCCGACCCACGTGACGGTGATGTTAAACGGGTCGGATATTATGATGTTTTTGAATTTTTGGATTACCGGGAAAACCACCGCCAGCCTTTCGTCAGCGAAGATGAGCTCATCGTCGCTTGGTAAAGGTGGCAGCGCCGGTGGCTGAGGGATAGGTAGTACTATCCCTCCCGTGGCGGCGCCGCCACCAATTACTATGATCATAGTGAAGATTCCGATGGTATTTTTAATATTCATTATTAATCTTGGAGTGGGGAAAAAGAATGGAATGCAATTAATTTATAAGAGGAAAGATTAATGGATCATTAATTTTTTGAAGTGGCCTTGGTTGGTAATGCATATTTTTTATTTAGTGTTGTGGTTTTATGTTGGTAATGTTATTTGATATTGCTAATGTGAATCATTCAAATTTTGAATTTTATTGTAAGAAAAATGAATCATCATCATGAAGCACTTCTACTAGCCTTTGTGCCTCTATTCTTCCTAGGTATATGTATTATGTGTATGTGGCAATAAAATAAAGGGCGGTGAGATGATAAACGTCGATATATCGTTGCGGTTGTAATCATACCGTTTTGCTTTTAAACGTGATTTGATCATTTTTTTTACTCGATACTGGGCAATACTAAGAACACATATTTCGTAGTTCTTTGAGTTATCTTTGCAATCCAACTTGAATCGCTAAAATTCGATGTTGGGTGAGAAAGATGTACACGAATCAATAAACATTGCCGACAAGTTCAATATTTTTGCTGTCTAAAATTCAAAATGGAACACATTTATGCATAATTTTGTCATCATGTATCTAATTTAGCTGATTCAAGTTGGATTAGAAAGTAAATTCAAATGACTACAATTTCCATGATTTTGAAATTTTGCTAGAATCAGATTAGAAAAAGTAAAAAATCACGTTTGAAAAGTCAAAACGGTATTTTAGGCCCTTTCCTTTCAAAATATATATGATAAGTCAAAATATAATTATACAATAACTTATTGCTGGATTAATTAAATAGAAGGTTAATACTTAATTATTTATGCATGTTATATTATAACCTTTGGGTGATATAAATAATGGGTAAATTACGATCAATCCATGAGGTATGGTTAAATTACAAAAACTTCCCTCTTGTTTGGTAATTACAACCACCCTCAATTATAAATCTTCTTATATGTCTACCATTGGAGTTTCAAATTTAGTGGAATCTTCGAGATTATATGGAATATTATTACTTTTGTACCTGTTTTATCCCATTCGAACTCCACATTTTGAAGCAAGATGATCATAATATGTATTTTTTGGGTTGTGTATATAAGAATGTGGTGCATCAGAAATTGTATTTTTACACAAAACGAGTACAAACTATAGCACATTCCACAAAATCTAGATGATTATGTTGAATTTGACAGCATAAGGGTGGAGATGTAAGAAAAAATCATAGTTGAGCGGTAGATGTAATTATCCAAACAAGAGGAATTTTTTCATAAATTAACCATAACTCAGGAGGTGTTTGTAATTTACCCTATAAGTAATTATTGAGTTTTGAGGATTGTTGGTGAACATCATATTAGAGAAGCCAAGGGACCAGCCAAAACCCAAAGCGAGTGTGAACTATTTAAAACTTTTCTCTTACTTTAAATAATATGACTTTTTTCTTTATTTCCAACTCTTACTTTTCTCTTCTTCACAACTCGAAGGATCGATAATGGACAAAGAGTGGAATATTATACTGTTTATCGAGTCCAAATGTTGGCAACATCGGTATCTCGTTCGTTTAACTAGCTATTCGCGGACACTAGCAGTTTACATGGTCGTTCATAAGGAATTGGGGGCCCTAAGCGAGTTTTAAGAATTTGTAAACAATGGGGCTCTATGTGTATTTAATTCATTCTAACGAGCACGACCGGAGAAGATTTTTTGATTAGCAGATAAGATTTTTGGGAAAAATACATGACTAAAATATTGACGAAGTTAAGGTAAATTAAAAGTTTATGGAATTCAGGGCAGAGCCCCAAAGTATTTTTGGAAATAGCATAAAAATATTATCGAACAAGTAAATATATGCAACCTTTGTTTAAATATAGTAAAATAAAATTTAGTACATTTCAACTTGCCAAAACTCTTTGAAGTTATTAAAAGATGCAAAGATTGCTGGAAAAAAAAAAGAGATATAAATATTTAATAGAAGAACTCAACATCTAGCTAATTGTAATTGATCTTAAGACATTTAATTTACATCAAATGCTAGACTAAGTGTAAAAATATACAACAAAATACTTGAACTATGTAAAATAATATAGTTATGGTTATTCAAATTGTTTAACTATTTATAAGTTTTAAATATCATTTAATATTATGACTAACATATATTTAAAGAGTACAAAACATTATTTGGGGGCCTCGATTTTTTTTTCTGAAAATTGGAGGATCTAGGCGAATACCTCTCTCGCCTATAGTCAGAATCGACTCCGAAGGTGTAAATGAGTTGAGATTATGACTATTATTTTTCTTCTAAGAGAGGACCAAGTCAATCTTATCTGTTGAAGAGAAAAAAAAAAGTTATCGACCACATGTGGTATTTATGACTTATGAGACATGGATAACAAACTCGATTTAGAATACATTGACAAGGATATTCAAACTATGATTTGACTATCTAATTCACGCTCAAAATACAAGATAAGAAACCAGAAAAGTAAACTATAACATATAAAATATTTGAAAAATAAATTATTAATAAGAAAAGGAACAACATAATGTAAATCGGATATGAATTTTCAAAAACAATCTAAAAAAATTATGATTTTTTCCCGAAAATTACATTTTTAATACCCATATTAGTATGTACTTATATTAAAGTTGAAATAAATAAAAATAAAAATTTCAAGATTCCAATTAACAAAAAAAAAAAAAAAAAAAATTCAAACCAAATATTTAATTCCAATTACCATTTTTTTTTTTTTCATTTTCTTTTATTGAAAAGCCCAGTGTAGAATCAATCAGGGCATTTCTCTAGTATAAACTAGACGAGCGAATATATTCCAGCAGGCCCAAATTGCAAACTATCAAAATCAAGAAATCTTTTTTTAGAGCTCACAATTCAGAATTTGCTGGAAACATCTGGTTCTTAACTGAAGAAAACGACAGAAAGAAGAAGAAACTGTAATGCCATGAACGGCGGGGACGCCGATATGATGGAGGCGGATGTTACATCTCCACCGCCACCGCCGCCGGACCCGATTTCCGATCCTAACGCCGCCAGGAATTGGCTGCTGACGGCGCGCCAGCTCCTTCATCAAGGGAAACCTTCTCAGGCCCTCCAAGCGGTAATTTTCTTTTTCCCCTTCCTTTATTTTTTTATTTGCAATTTCAATTTAATTGCTGTTGATCAGTTTGATTTCTAGTTTTTACTGATTCTACAATTTTGGGATTTCCGGTAGTTTATAAATTTACTGACTAAGTTCTTGAATTAGGGCATCAATTTTTATCTATTAATTTTGTGGTTTTGTGTATGAGACTTTGTTAAAGTATTGATTGTTGTTGAAAGGGGCAAATGCAAGCTGTTTCGTCCCCTCTGCATATGTTAACTAGCTACTTTAATTACGAAAAAAGATCGACTGGAAATTCGTTTCCTTATGTAGCATTCTCGACGTAACCAATCATGAAAAGGGTTTAATAATTGGACATAAATTAATTATTGTGAATTTGATAAATTCTTGTTTATCCGATTATCTTACTAATTTCAAGAAAACCGTAAATGAGGCTCCAATAGTGTTCTTTTTAAGAGATATGATACATCTGCCATAATTAGCTACAACCCCTTCTAATTTCAAAACGACACGTGTAAGAAAGTCGGAAGTATTTGGTGCAACGTAAGTAGTATGCATGGCTCCGAAGAACTACTAAAAATATATACAAGATTGAACGGAAAATTTGCTAAGTAGTATTTGTTTACTTCTTATCTTTGTTAGTTTGTTTTACAAGTTTGTTACAAGTATCTTCGTCTCTGTTTAACAGATAAAATTTCCTTACAGTTTATGGTTACTCATAGAAGGGGTATTTTGGTAATTTGAGCTTGTCTAAGATTTTCGGGGTTTACAGCTCATGCAAGATAATTGTTTCAGTATGTGTGTGTAATGAGATTTTTGTTTTTGTCGGTGCTTTCAGGGAGTGTATTTCTTTTTTTAAACTCTCGATTTATCGTTTATGTGTTATATTGTTAAAACATTTTTTGATTTGTTTATTATTTAAAGGTGGTGATGGCGATGAAAATACAAGGGGATGAAGGATCGGTAGCCGAGGCTCTAAATCGAGCAAGAGAGAAGTACGTGAATAAAATCCAGACGAATGCCGCTGCAGATCAATTAGCCTCTCTATTTGCAGAGTGCGCAATTGCCGAAGCCACTACCACCACTCCCTCTTTTCAACAACCGCAATCTCAACATTATAATAATAATAATAATATTAATAATAACGAAGGAACTACCTCAATACTCGCTGAGAGTGGGAGGAACCAAATTGTGCTCGATGCATCGTCTGATGGGAGCAGCTTCGTTTGCTTGCAGTGTGGGGGCCTCGTTTCTAATCTCCGTAAAGACGAACATTTCGCCTTCTGGTGTAGCCAAACCTGATTTTGAGTGATGTATGTGAAACCCCTTACTTCGGTTTTTTTAGTTTGTGTGTGTGTTCGTATTTGTGCACTATTGATGATGTTGTAGTTTACCTAATAGTACTATGGTAGTATTTTGACCGGCTGGGAGGAGTCGGTTGTGAACCGATGAAATTTTTGGCATCATATATACCGTGTATGAATATGAACAAAGGTTTTTTTGTTCTGTTGTATCTTTCGATCGAACTTGTATCATCTCCTAAGCAAAACTTTCGCCGTAGAATGCAATACAATGTTATTAGTTGTTTATTTTGTTTTGTGTTTTGATGGATTGCATGTTTATGGAGTGGCGGAGCAGGGTGATTTTTCGTGTAGTAATTTTTTTAATGCTGTTGTGATATTATATGCATGTGTACACCAAATAAACATTTCTTCAACACCTTATTGTAACACCAAATAAGTTGAAATTGTATTTTTATTGCAAACACTAGGGTTCTAAATTAACAATCTAATGTTGATCATTTTATGATATTTGCAAGTATCCGAATTTGTGAAATAATACTTAATTCTAAATTTTATTAACAATTTTCTAACTTTTATTTTTTACCTAAAAAAGAAAAATTAGAATAAAATATAATAAAATTAGAATAAAATATAAATATTGAAAAGTGGAATTTTCAATTTATAAAATATAAAATTAGAATAAAATATAAACATTGAAAAGTGGAAATTTCACGGATGTATCAAGTAATTGTATCTCAAAAAACATGAAATAAAAACCAACAATAGATTGTTATATAAAATTATAAATTATAAATTGATGGTGTATATTGCCCAACGATAATTTTTTCTTCAAGTAATATTTTTGTTTTCTTAATTTTTTTTATTCTTTATTATACTTGTGAATATTGCTAGACAAATGAAGATTTCAATCAATAGAAATCTGATGTCCGTACGAATATTGCTAGACAAATGAAGATTTCAATTAATAGAAATCTGATGTCTGTATTTCTGTATGAATATTGCTAGACGAATGAAGATTTCTATCTGATGTCTGTATTTCTGTATGAATATTGCTAGACAAATGAAGATTTCAATTAATAGAGATCTGATGTCGTCAAGAACTAATTTTTTGAAATGAAATTCAATATTCCAACATTCAATTTTATTTTTAGTTGAATGCACTTTAGATCCACCTTATAAAAGTGTTTGTGCCTTTTGCTTGTTAATATTTTAAAGGTGGTGTTTGCAAATGATTATTTAAAAGCAGAAGTTAGTGATTGTGATTTAAGTTAGTTTTAAGTGCTTATTTCTAAAAGTTGGGGGTGTTTGCAAACATTTCGGAGAATGAACTAAAATTGAAAAAGCAGGGTTAGAGGTGCTTTTAAAAAAATAGCTTAAAACAGATTATTTTACGAGAAGCAAAAGCAAAAGTTGATTTTGCAAACACCTAAAAACAGATTATGAGCAAAAAAAAAAACCACATAATCACTTTCAATAAGCATATGCAAACACCACCAAAGTGAAATGCTTTTTGGGGTCTGAAATTTGCTATTTGCAACTCATTCCCCATAAAACACTTCTCTCTCTAAAAAAAAATAGCATTGTCTCCCTAAAAAAAAAAATCCAAAAATTCGAATTCAAGCAAAATCAAGCCAAATTCATCCAAAATTTCAGGTTTTTTCAACTCCTAAACGTTTTAATTGCATTGGGTAGGAAATTTTGGGTGTAATTGCATGTTAGACAGCCCTAAAAATCGAAAGTTAGGACTGTTTTGGGTGGAATTTTAGCACATTGAACGCCCAAACCGGGCGTTCACCGGTATTTTTCACGCCCGGTTTGGGCGTGAAAAATACTAGTGAACTCCCGGTTTGGGCGTTCGTTTAGAGTATGCACGTCACTACAACAAAAATGTCTTTTGGAGACATTGATAAATGTCCTAAAATGTACCATTTTGGGGCACTTATACCTATAAGGGCAAATAAAATAAATGTCGCGTAGTTGTGTGTCGCAATAGCTTGTGGGACACTTATAATATGTCCCTATAGAATTTTCTTTTTAAGACAATTATATGTGTCCCGATAGAATATGTTGAGGCATTTATATTTGTCCTGTAAAGATGTTACTATTTTTTTCTCAATAACTTGTTGCGACACTTGCATCAACTTTGAGACATTTATATGTGCCGCTGAAATATATAAATGTCCCTGTATATTTATTGAATAAAAATTCCATAAAAATCTATTTGAAATAAATATTACTAAGTTGAATAAATAAAAGTATAAAACATATAACACAAAAAAACAATTACGATAACTATGGAAACGGGAATTTCAATTGCATCTAGTCACAATGTTTATAAATATTACAATCAATTCCAGTATCTTGTTATGGTAGAACTTTTGTACGAAAACTATACCTATAACTATGCCCGAGTTTTCTAGAACAATGTAGAGAATATCCTATTTAACTAATAATTCTTATATTCTTACAGCAAAAATTCAAAATGCATGATTTAGCTCCATCGTATGCTTGTGTGCATCAACAATAAAATTCATCATCCAAAACAACCTATGTGCACAAAAATATACATTAATTAGTAACAAGAAAATAAGTTATAAAATTCATACAGAACAACAAATTTGTATCTCTATCACATTCAGAATAAAGGTTGAGGCCTAAACGAATGCAGGTAAAATTAGAAAATTAAGCGGAAAAAAAAAAAAAAACAGAATTTAGATAAAACTTACTTTATTAGACTGGGCAGCTCCAAGGTGTATAGTAGCAACTCTCTCATCAAATTTCAAAGTACTAATTGTCCGGTGTGATGTAGGTGTCCAACAATGCTTGGATACAGCTCGTGGAGCACCATCTCCAGCAGATTCAGCCTATCAGAAAAACAAAAGAGTTTCTATTAAATTCAACAATAAGAGCTGGATCAATGAGTCGTAAGTTTATGAACAATGGAGTAATTTATACATTCATCATTCTTGTGTCATTGTCCCATACGAGTGCCTAAATGCTATCCACTTACGCCACTTATACTAGCACCTGTAGTGAAAATATAGCTTTGGTAAGCAAACAATTTTTTTATTTTTATTTTACCAAGTCCTATAACATTCTTTTTATAGTGTGAATTTGATTTTATAATCATCCTACAAAGTTAAATAACATTCACAAGAAATACAAAAAGTTCTGAGTAAACTCTCATTGATAGTAGGATGACAATGAATCTTTAAATCCTTAAGGACTCGATCTACATCAAATTAACTTGTTAACTCCTTCGCTATTTCTCCATCTTCAATAGGATTCCCAACAAGCTCTTGCTAATTACAATCACGATAATATACATCAAATACTACACTTCACTTCAAGACTCCCAAGTAAAATCATGTAAAATAGAATTAGTTAATTTTAAGGCAATAAAACAATCAAACGTTAGACTACATATTCCATTTATATAATATTTTTTGCTTGCTAAATCAAACCAATACAAAATTAAGATTAAAAGAGAATTCTATGAGAAACATAGCATTCTTCTTCAATGGCATGAGACAAAAAATAAACAAATTTTGTGTGTGCTACTTTGTCTCAATCTTCAGTATGAACAAATTAAATATTACATATTACCTGACTTACTACTGCTCCACTCCAGTGAATTGCAAACATATATTATTTTCAATTCTGTCATGTAATAAAATTTCTTGATTCACACAATTCCCTATCCGGTGTCATGCAATTAATAACCAGAATATTCATATTTTTAATATCAAAGTATATATAAAAATACATAACGTCATGTTTATATCTAAACAAATTAGGGGTTTAGGGTTTGAATTTAATTACCAGGGCGAAAAAAATCGATTAAGATGGATGAGTGCGCTAAGAATGGATTACCGTAAAGAGAAGAAGAATTGACTGCTAGATTACTACGAACGGTATTTTCTCCTGCCATTTGGGTTCTTCTCCTCCTTCGGGTTCTTCTCTGCGTTGATGTTGGGAGAAAAAAATCACTTGAGTTTTTTTGTCCTGTAAAAGCAGCATTAACACGTTAACATGAGAAGTGGGCTGGGCTGGGGGAAATATATTATTAAAAAAAAAAAAAAAAATTCGCTAGAATAAATTGCAATGGTGGGGCTTGAGATAAATGTCCCTAGAAATTTAAGAAATATGTAAAAATATTAAGTGTCCTAAAAAATTATATTTGAGGCATTTATAAAATTTGTCTCCAAATAATAAATGCCCCTACATGTATTATAGATATTAAAATTTGATCAAGTGTCCCAATAAATTATAATTGAGACATTTACGAAAAAATGCCTCCAAACAAGTGTCGTAATATCCATATTTTGTTGTAGTGCACGCCCGGTCCGGGCATCCGGTCCGGAAATGGGCGCCCGGTTTGGGCGTTCGGGTCCGGTTTGGACGCCCGGTCTGGGCGTTCGGCAGTGTAATTTTTTTTTTTTGATTTTTTTTTGAATTTCAATTTTACTTATTTCAATATCAATTTTTTTTATAATTTCAATTTTACTTATTTCTATATTTTTTTTATAATTTCAATTTTACTTAGTTCTATATTTTTTTTTATAATTTCATTTTTACTTATTTCAATATTTTTTTAATAATTTCAATTTTACTAATTTCAATAGTTTTTTTTTATATAATTTCAATTTTACTTATTTCAAATATCTCTTATATTTGCAGGATGTCTAATTGGATTAAAAAACTGAAAATGGGGAAAAGGAAAGGGGCCTATGATTCGTTCCCCTGCGGATCCGATGGAAGAATCTACTACACAACGAGAGGATAGAACAGATAACTGAAAGGTTACTAGTCTACGCGGCGTGGCGAAAGAACAGTAATTTTTAAACAACTACGTGCACTTGCGGCAATAGAGGCGGAAGCGGAGGCCGAGGCAAAGATGGATGCACATATGGATCCGTAGGAGGACGAGGATGATGCAGGAGTTCGTTTTCAGGGGAAATATCATTTTCCGACTCCTGATTTTCCATTAGATGACGATGACGAGGACGATCCGACTCCACCTCCTACTTTGACTAGAGCTGCTACTACTTCCGGTGGTTCTACTCCTGTCGAAAATCCTAAATCTCGCCCCGCTCGGAAATCTAAGGTTTCTTCTTGACCTTGGCGGTTGATTGGCCGGGCGCCCGGTGGACCTGAGCTGCCTGAGTTGATTCCGAGTTTCGGAGAACATGTGGCCTACGACATTTGGGAGGGAAAGGTAATACCTATTAATTTTAATAGATTTTATTCAAAGTGTTTATACTTGATTGTGTTATAATTAAATTAAATATATATTGAACAGGCACGACATATGCTTAAGTTGCGGTCGCATGGCAAGTCGACTTGGTCGGGCCCCATCGATGCTCGTTCTGTTGCACTACTAGAGATAACGAGCTTGTATCACTTGCGTCCTTGTTCTCTCCCTCAGCACAATAATCCACTTATCGAGGCTTTTATTGAGAGATGGCAGCCAGACACAAACGCCTTTCATATGTCGTTCAGAGAGATGAGAATTACTCTCCACGATGTGCATTACATAATGCATTTGCCAGTTAGTGGACATCGCCCTAACACTAACATGGATAAGGCACACGCGATTGAGGCAGGTGCGAGAGCGTTTGGTATTGACGATGCACTTATGGAGCAGTGGTGGTACGGTGGTGGCCCCCGGTTAGATGAGTTGGATGTGATGTACAATAATAATCCTACGTTTCCACCCGAGTTTTGCGTACAAGCATATATCGCTTACTTGCTCGGAAAACTGTTGTTCGTCGACAAAAGTGGATCGAAGGTGAAAGCAAAATTTTTTTCCCACTTTTAGAGTACATCGATCAGATTCACGAGTATTCTTGGGGTTCTGCTACATTGGCCTTTTTGTACCGACAGTTGGGTATGGCTCGCAAGCTGAGGCTGCGCAGATTTGTGGTTGTCTGACGCTGTTAGAGGTACTTTTTAATTTTTATTAATCAACGAACTGTTTTGTTAATAAGTTTCGATGTTATGTTTAACATTTTGTATTATTATTCATGTAGTGTTGAATATATGAGTATTTTCCATACTTCCGGCCTCCGATGGTTAACGCACATGTACCGGGGGAACCGTGGTGCAAGAGGTCGCATGTGACACATCATATCCCTAAGGACGAGGATATAGTTGTCGAGTACCGTCGACGCCTTGATTCCATGCGTGCATCAGATGTAAGTGACAAGTCTAAATAATTTATATTTATGTATTTACTTTTTTTTATTAATACATGCCTATTGATACAATAGGTCAATTGGACGCCATTTGGGTTGAATATGGCACGTGATGTTGACAAGACCCTCCATCACGGGACTATTCGTTGGATGGATACTGTCAAGCCTTACATGCCCGATAGAGCACTGCGTCAGTTCGGCTTTGTTCAAATTATTCCTGCCCCCCCCTATTCTTTCGCTTCGAGGTGCTAAGAGGGAGAGAAAATTAACATCTTACAAAGTTGACTACGAGTCTGGCGATCAGCTTTGGAGTATCCCCTACGTGCACATGCTTGATGGAGATTATTATGGTCGTTTAGCGTCTCCGACTTGGGAGTCGGACGAGCGTTATTTGCCGTGGTATCTCGTCCACACCCAACCCCGTATAGATCCTAGTTTCGAGCCGGTGGAGAGAGCGGAGCCATCTGCAGTTCCGTTTGTATACGACATCACCCAAGTATTGCATCCATACTTTTACGATCACTTGCCTCCGCCGACTATTCCAGGATATCGTGCCATACCCGATGATTTCTTCAGGACGATCCAGGATATGTGCACCATGTTCGCTGAGTATTTATAGTTGCAGCGTCCTAATATAGATATTGATGACGAGCAAGATGCAAGAGACTCACCGGTGCGACATTCTCAGGGCAGACGTCGGACGAGGTATACTTAGTTGTTGTTTTTTTTTTAATTCATATTTCGGTGATGTTGGATTGTTGTTTTCTTTCCGAATTTGATAATGGTGTTGGATTGTTGTTTTGTTTTAGTATTTGACGATGATCACGGTTGATGATGTTGGATTGTTGTTCACTTTTCGGATTTGATAATGATCCTGGATTGTTGTTTTCTTTTCGGATTTGATAATGATGTTGGATAAATAAAGGGTCAAAACTATATTTTTGGAAAAAAATGATTCATTGTGTTTTAGGTACAAATTGATGAATTGGATAGATAAAGGGTCAAAACTATATTTTTTGAAAAAAATGATTTATTGTGTTTTAGGTACAAATTGATGAATTGGATACATAAAGGGTCAAAACTACAATTTTGGAAAAAAATGGTTTATTGTGTTGTAGGTACAAATTGACGAATTGGACAAATAAAGGGTCAAAATAGCAATTTTGGAATAGT